CCATTTTCTTGAAGACAACCACGTTTCACCAAATACCCAATTAAACAAATCCCATTAATCTAATATTCCCTTGCTAAAAATCCCTTAATTCTCTCTTAATCCACACCTTCGTGTCTCACACTTCTTTCTTATATTTTCCTTCTTCTTCCTCCCGCTCTCCAACTCCCTCTCTCTTTTCGACTCTCTCTCCCATGCAGCTACCTCGCAGAAAAACTCTCTCTCTCTCCGAATCTGCGGCAATGAAGGTACGCAAGAACAATAACCTCTCCGTCTTCGTCGTCGTCTTTTCGGTCTTCCTCTTCGGGGTGTTCATGTACAATGAGGACGTGAAATCCATTGCTGAATTTCCATTCTCGAGCCACAAAGCTCAAGAATTCCAGGAAGAACTACAGTCGTCGAAACAGAGCGACCCGGTTCAAGAAACGAAACAGACCGACTCTGTTCAGGAAACCCACAACAGAGTGTCTCTGAGCTCGAGAACCCAACTGGAAGAAACCCATTTGGAGAATCACAATTCAGAGGAAACCCAGTTGGAAAATCACAATTCAGAGGAAACCCAGTTGGAGAATCACAGTTCAGAAGAAAACCAGTTGGAGAACAACAATTCGGATGAAACCCAAGAGCCGGTTGATCTGAAATCCATCGTCGAACAACACGAAGATCAGAAGATTGAATTGTTGGGTTCTTCTCAGGAAGAAGAGGAAGAGGAGGAGATTGAACTGCCGCCGGAAGATTGCGATTTGTTCAACGGAGATTGGGTTTTCGATCCGGTGACTCACCCTTTATACAAAGAAGAAGAATGCGAGTTCCTTACGGAGCAAGTGACATGCATGAGGAATGGAAGGAAGGACTCTCTGTACCAGCATTGGAGATGGCAGCCCAGAGACTGTAATCTCCCAAAGTATGAATCTTTAACTGTTAATTACTGGTTTTGAATTTTGATTTCTGGGTTTTTGTTTAATTATGGTTTTGATTATTGTGTGGATTAGGTTTAATGCGAGATTGTTGCTGGAGAAATTGAGGAACAAGAGGCTGATGTTTGTTGGAGATTCACTGAACAGAAACCAGTGGGAATCCATGATTTGTTTTGCTCAGTCTGTCGTTCCTCCCGGCAGGAAGAGCTTGGTGAAGAATGGCTCCCTCTCTGTTTTCAGAGTTGAGGTTAACATATTCATTTTTCTTCTTTACCTTTTCATAGGTTCCATTCATTTAGTAGATAAAATGATTCCTGCATGGGCCACCTAATGAATTGATAGCCTTGTCAGCAGTTCACTTGCAATTTATGATGAATTTAAAAAAAAAAAAATTGGTCCAAAAGATTAAAAAAAAAAATTATGAGAAAATTTTGGGTAGGTTGTTGATGACGTCATCATCAACCCACACATCGAGATTTTTCAATGTGTCAGGAGCACGGTTAGGTACACTAAGTGTAATAATATAATTAGTTAGAAATTTAAAGAATTTTTTTTTAATAAATTGTATTATAACACTTAGTGTACCGAATCGTATTCCTAGCATACTAAAAACTTTCTCCCAAAACTTTTTACAAAAGAATAAGTTCTCGTACATTTTGATTCCCTCTAATTCTACATGGTGGGAGAGTAGCCCTAGTAAGACAAGATTTTCGAAGTTTCCCTCGTTATTATTTCAGTAAGGAGCTGTTATTTTTTGTGAAAAAATTAGAGTTCGAAAGGTGTCTAAGAATTTTATATTTTATGATTTTAGTAAGTTATTTTTGCATATTCATCAGACTTTATTTTACAGTTAAATAAATTGTAAGAAATCGAGCAATGTTCATATCTATGGTGTAGAGGTAATTTCATGTATGGCATTGTAGATTGCTTGGCAGACACATATTTTGGGAACTATCTAAATATTCTTTGTTTTTGTTTGGTTTAATTATGTGGTTTTAGGACTATAATGCCACGGTGGAATTTTATTGGGCTCCATTTCTGGTGGAGTCAAATTCAGATGATCCAAACATGCACAGCATATTAAATCGAATAATAATGCCCAAATCAATTAAAAAGCATGGTGAAAATTGGAAGGGCGTCGACTATCTAATTTTCAACACATACATTTGGTGGATGAACACTTTCAACATGAAAGTTCTGTAAGTAGCCAAATTAAACTTGCTCAAAATTTTAAAAAGTTAATTTCTTAGCAATTTCAAGAAGTTGATGTGTTTTTATTTGTTGTTTCGACTGAAAAGACGAGGTTCGTTCGATCAAGGGGCGACGGAATACGATGAGATCGACCGGCCGTGGGCGTACCGGAGAGTCATGAAGACTTGGGCTAAGTGGGTGGACAAGAACATTGATCCTAATCGGACTACCGTTTTCTTCAGCAGCATGTCTCCTCTTCACATCAAGTAATTTTCTCGCACGTCTTTTTTAATTATTTTCTTATGCTTCAAAATGTGGAAACAGTTTTGTCAAAATTTGCATTTTTTTTGGGGGAAAAAAAAAAAGAACGTAAAACAAAAGCATAGAAAATAACATTTGACGAAAAACAAAATATAAATAATAATGACGAATTCTCTGCAATTATACAGTTAAAAGTATGCACAAGCACATGCGTACTAAAGAATCTTAGTATAGTGCGTACGTAGGTTAGGCTGGGTGCATAGTTTCTTTCATCTGTTTTTTGCATCCTAAATTGAATCTCTCTCCCCTTCATAAGAGTAGTTTAAAATATCGGTTGTTAAATAAAAGAATCTAAGTTTGGTAATTCTTCACGTGGTTCTTGTACCTAATTAACTTATTTGCAATGGTTTAAACTTAAACAAACTTAATGGCAACCATTTTTTTTGTCATTTACCCAAAATTTTCTTTCAATCATTAGCTTGTGAGGCAAGCCTACGCCTAGTAGATTGGTTGAGAAAGTGCATTTAGCTTAAGGCAAAAATACCTGTCTCCTGTTTTTTTTTGGGTTGTATGTTCTGTAAGTGAATATAATATAATATAATACAAGAATATCTGCATGTAATCTAATATCATATTAAATATAGTATCGAGTTTCTGCTCATGCGTCTCGGGTTTAATACTTTTCCTTTCCTTATAATAATTTTAAACCTCTTCCTCCCCTAATTAAAAAAAATAATTAAAAAAATAATATAATAACATCCCTTAGGTGAGCGTGAGCTGTTGGGTGGTTGATTGTGGGTATATGAAAATGAACCCCAAAGCTTTGATTCGACCCTAATCTTTGGTTGGTTAACCACTACATATCTATTTCTAAATGAATAATCTTAATATATGTCCTTTAATCCCTTCCACTTCCAACATAGAGAGCACATGTTACGTTATTCGTAGAACAATTCTCACAAAAAATATAGACAGACTCCTACATTTCTGTTCCATCTGATATGAGAGTTACCGTAATCTAATAATCCTACCAAAGCTTTTTCGTACTGACGCATTATTTGATAACATAATTCACGGAGTCTATGACTTTTCTTCCAACCCTAATTGACGTTTGTGGTGTCATAGGAGCTTGGATTGGGGCAACCCAGATGGCATAAAATGTGCAAAAGAAACCACACCGGTTCTGAACATGACAACCCCGTTGGAAGTGGGCACGGACCGCAGGCTATTTGTGATTTCAAGCAACATAACAAAATCAATGAAAGTGCCCGTCTACTTTCTCAACATCACAACCCTCTCCGAGTTCCGCAAAGATGCACATACCTCAGTCCACACCATCAGGCAAGGCAAGCTGTTGACGCCGGAGCAGCAAGCCGACCCGGCCACTTACGCAGACTGCATCCATTGGTGCCTCCCCGGGTTGCCCGACACGTGGAACGAGTTTCTTTACTCACGTATCATCTCCCGCTCTTGACACATAGGAAAATCCGTACACTCTGCCCCTTGTTTTTTATAATTTTTGTTTTAATTTTGGGTCCACTATTTCATGTAATTTCTCTCCTCAGTTTTTACTTTCTTAGGAACCTTTTTTTTTTCTTTTTTTTTTTTTTTTTTTTTTTTTTTGTTCTTTTATTCAGCCAATTTGACTAAAGGTGAGAGCTGAATGAGGATGCTAATTTTTAGCCGAAGTCTCACAAAATTTGCTTAGGCTGAAAAGGGACTCTTTGGTACCACCCCCTCCCCCAAAAACCTGAATTGTAAAATTCATATTCCAAAAAATAATAAAGAAAACACAAAACTGTATGTCCTGTCCTCTTCTCTTATCCTATTTTTACTTCTAGTCTTGGAAATAACGACTAAGTTCTCGATAATTTTACTGGAGACTTTTGACGGTTAAATCTTGGTCACTAGCTCCTTGATCAAGAATCTAACGGTGAACAATTGTGTTGGGTACAGTACCTCAAGCATACTAGAAAGGGAAATTTATTTGAACCTATAGAACTTCTTTCTACACACAGCTTACTCTTTAAACCCATATCATTATTAATTAAATTGTCAATATCTCTTTGAACCCATATTTACTGCCTAAACTAACCTTACAAATGCAATTCAACATGTAATTTATCTTTACACCCATTTAAAAGTTGAAAAACCAAAATCAAATGAAAAGAGCTCATGCAAAAACAATGAAACAAAGTATGTAGCTATTGTTGGTTTGGCAAATTAGATTGCAAATTATCAGTATGGTATTATAACGAACGCACACATGAGAAACTCAATTAATCCATGTTGCCTATTATCTGACCGTTAGAACCTTTGAATCTTGAATTAAGAAGTAGCTGTTTGATATGTAATCCAATAAAAATTAAATTAAAAAAAAAAAAAAAAAAAAAGCACGATGTTATGGTTATGTTATGTAAATTAAGAAGTAGAAGACTTGGTAAATGGTGTCCAAAAAGAACAAGAAAAGACTTGGCAGTGTTAGTATATGGCATATAAATTAACAATTCAACTCTTGCATAAATCGATTTATACTTTAGTTAGAGGATTCAAAACTTCAAAATTACCGTCCATCCATAAAAAAGAGCTTGTTTTTCTCTATGAGAGCGAAAAACCTCTAACGGCACCCTACTATCAAGACAAATAAAAGGTTTCGTATTTAATTGCGACATTTTACATATACCTACTTCAAACAATATACATGTAAGGTTCTGTAATGCGGAGGCTGTCTAGCAGATGAATGCGATATGCTCCACAGAAAATGATTATCTAAGGGTGGAAAGCAAAGAACAGATGATACCTTCGCGTCTTGAGACATATTCTGCAACGAATCTTCACCGTACTCTGTACAATCCGTGCCTCATCTGCTCTCGTTAGATGAAAAAAGATTATCTATCGCGGCAATAGCATTGATGTGAGTCCTCGGAAATAGTAGATGTAAAAAAGGGACCAAAGTTGACGAGGACTTGAGCTTGGGCTTGACTTTCTCCACAGCCATCTTAATTACAGATGGAGCTGGTACACCGAACCACTGAAGGTACCAAGAGAGAAGTATCGAGCGTTTATCTCCGTGGAATTCCCCATTTGGCCACCCCCCAGAATACATATAATTACAAAAGTCGTCCTTCAAGTCCTGAGAACAGTTTAGGAGCTCTTCCACCTGCTTCCTAAGACATGCTATAAAGTTGGATTGAACAATGCCGCCTCTCGAAGCAGTGGATCTTCCGCTTAACAAAGTCTCGTTGTAGGCTAGTGCAAGCTGCAGTCAGAATGGGGTGGATGAAAATACAGTGCAACAAATTATGTCATTAAGAAAACAAAAGGTGATTATTAGAGACCGAAGAATGAATTAACAAAAGAAAAAAAGTTGATGCGATATCAATCATTTGCAAATTTAACTCGTTTTTCTTTCTTTCTCCAGTTATAGCAAAGTTACATATTCAACTCATCCTAATTCAATTATGATCACCTACGTTTTTTCAACCACTTTTTTTTTTTTTTACAATGTGTTTTCTTGATCATTAAACAGGAAAACCATACCGATGTTCAACTCTAAGGAATTGATATAGTTTTTGGCATCATTTAATATGAAAAAGTTAATGAAAGTTATAACTAGGGCAAACTGAAAGGTCAATAGAATACTACCTTAAGATTACAAATAGCAAGAGAGTCGGATAAAACAACAGCATCACTGGTAACTTGACCTGCCATTGATCCAATTGTCGTGTATAATGACAAATAGACCTGCATATTTTTCAGGAGATAGCATTAAGTTTATTATTAGAAGGGTAACCTTCAGAAACGGGAACATCTCGAAAGCATTGATTAAAATGAAAAGCATAATCAGTTCGACTTCTACAGTTATAGTTGAAAAGCATAATCCCGTATCACATTAAGAAAATGAAAGGCGAATGTCAGTTTGCATTGAATGTGTCGCATCTAAATCATATCAAGATACACCACCCGGCAGGTACAAGCAGATTATAGCCCTTGTGGCATCCAACCAAGCTGGAAGAACTAATTTCGGAATGCAAGGTTCGTTTAAATTGAAGGCAGAGAAAATAATCTCATACGCATATTTTATGGCTACCTGTAAAAGAGCAGGTCTGTCCTTGCTCACACACTCGAATAATACTTGCAAGCAAAATTCTTGGAAATTAATGTCAGATCTGCATATACATATTGAGACTGGTTATTTCAAAGAAATTACATGGATAATGTCCAATCCCTACTGAATTCCAGACCACAAACTGGAACCAAAAGGCCAAAGAGAAAAATGCGAAAATAAAAACAGGTACTTACTTGCTCTTCCAGGAAGGGTCGCAGCAGAGTTGTGCAAAAGCAAGCAAGCTAGGATCAGATGAGAACGTACCAACCAACTGGTCAACAGTAACAGAACCAGGTCCATTGTCCCCGCTTGAACAGGGATCACGTCCTTTTAAACTTGTCAAACCAAACACCTGGATCAAGAACAATTTGGTATCCACTCTGTCATCCAAATACATCACTAACATAATAAGCAGTGGTAGAGAATTTTTTACCTTATGCATTGCCCGTGACAGCAGTGACTGACACCCTATGGGATCATCAATGTACGAACATGCTCCAACCTTTCTTTTGATATACACAACACCAGAATTAAATGGGCTATTCTTGTCCCCAGGGGTCCACCAAGGTTCATCTGTTAAACAAAATATGGAATAAAGCAAAACATCGCATTACTATGAAATTAAAATAGAGTTGACAGTTTGACTATCAAGAGTTATATTCTTGGAAACAGTATAGATTAGCAAAAACAAGCAGAAACAAGTGCATACCTTCAGGGACAAGATCTATTATTTGTGGCCAATACCGAGGGCCACAAATGCGTATTGACTTCAACTGCAAACAGCAGAAAATCAAATAATCCGTTAACCAGTTTTCTGTGTAACATATATACAATAGCAGTCAGATTCATTCCAAGGTAATTAACTCACTACTTGAAGTCACACAGGAACACTAAACCTACATAAATATACTATATTTGGCAGTCCATAAATGCTCAGGTAAAAAAAAAAAACTCCATAATATTTAAAACTGGTATAGTTTATATACAGTTTCTTCACATATTTTTAAATCCAAAAGGAGGAAAATTTCTATGCAGAGCTTCGATGTTCCCCAAGCAAAGTCTCCTTTCATTTCAATTATATGGGGGAAGAGAGGGAAGTTGAAGAATTATGATTTCCGACAGAGTTATTCTTAACAGTTGAAACTTACAATGTCACGTTCTGGTAGAAGGCAAGGCGTAACCTCACAAAAACTTGTTTCCGAATAATGTTCAGTTTCCTTAATAGTAACTTCAAGAGGCGCATACACAGGTAGACCAGTGTCAACATCAACCGTCTGGATCCAACGGGCTTCAGTTGCAAGTACATATAAATGCCGAAATGCCTGAAATTACACTTCCTTCAGAAACTCAAGATACTCATAATCAGCAATCAGATATCATAGGGTGAAGGAGCAAGCACTTTCCATTCGCTCTTAACAAAAGTTGTCTGACCTAAACAAATATATTTTAAACATGTTTCCCTCTAACTTTTTTATTCAAGGTCAATACTACGGTATAATCAATTATGAATTAAACCAATACATTTTTCAAAACCAATTATAGATGTATGTGATGCCTGAGAAAACCATTTGACCTGGAGGTGGCATCGATTATCACTGGGTCCAGTAGGCAATCGTGGATAGAGAGTAATCAGCAAAGCAGCAACGGAACTGTTGCTTGTTGAAAATGTCCGTGTTCCTCCCCCAAGGAACAAGAAACCAATTGCTAGGCTTACCTAGAGTGAACAGAAACACAAATGCAACAAAATTTAAATTGTAATAATGGGGATGCCATCAAAGAAATTTTGAGGAAAGTATGAACATTTCTAGAAGAATACGAGATCTGACGATACGTAGTGGAAGACTTACAGCCATCTGAACACCATAATTAACATGTCCATCTGCAGAATTTCTGTTGCGGAGAAATCTCAACAGCTTAAAGGTTTGTAAATGTCCAGAACCAGCCATAACCTGACATTTCAGAGCATTAGCACCAGATACTTAACTGCGCTCGTACTAGGAAATAGTAGATACAAATACCCAAAAAAAAAGTAGGAATGAAAAATCCAATTACCACAGACAGGGAAAGAACAATGAGATGAAGACATATCTCCAATGTGCTTCGATCGACATAGTGAGACAATCCCTTTGGGAAGGTTCCACTTGTAGCAGAAACTGGCTTGATCTGCAAACAAAAGAAAAGTACTTATTAGTAACGTCCGGGTGGTTATAAGTTAAGCAACATCGTGCTAACGTCCAACCTCGTTCAGAAAGTAAACAGCATAGCTGTAAAGTAACTCCTGAGCATTTGCATCCTTTGTACCAGCAAATCTCAACCCTGCCCATGATAAAGTTATAATGGAAGATAAAATAAGATACAAATATATGTTTAAAAGCTAATGAGTACTAAACTATAAAAGAACATTTGAAGCATATCAATTTGTTTGTAACCAAATGAAACAGTTATAACTTAACAAATAGCTGAATCTGCTCAGAATCTTATTATTGAACAATTGGAATAAAAAGTTGTGGAAGGCACATCCTTTTAGCTTGCCAAAAAAGACATAGCATCTTATAACACATTCAATAAAAATGAAAATTACATCAATATTCTTCGAGTTGGATGCAACTATATAAGCAAATGATATCCTCAAAAAATCAATACCATATGAAAACCACATCTTACCAAGGGAAATGCAGGCTCCAGCCACTATATTGACATATGCCTGCACAAATGCTTCAGTATCCATTTCATCAATATCATCAGTATCATCCCCAAGGCATTTGACACCATTTTTGACAATATCAGGAATCTGAGACTCTACCCAATCTTGGGAAGGATGAATCCTACAAACAATAAATTGTCAAATTATGTCTAAAAAGTAGTTATATAGACCCAGATTGAATGACCAGCAGTACCTGCTCCACATTATCAAATTTCGGGCAATGACACGAAGCATGATGAAATCAGGCCTCACATATTGTAACTCAAACTGTGTTTGAGGAATAGAGAGCTTAGACACAATCACCTGTGATTCAGTCTGTAACAGAATAGCAGTATGTGAGAAATTATCGTGCAGACAGATAAGCGAATTGGAGTATACTTTTCAAATCAGTATCGTCTTGATTGGAAATTACCTTCAAAAACATTAAAGCAAGAGCGAGTGTGGCTCCAGGTGCAGTGGCATCAACATTGACTGCAGTTCCATCCATCATCTACAAGACAATATAACATGGGGAAATGTCCATATCAACTGTTAAAAAAATGCAGACGAGTAGGTTAAAATAAAGACTGCTATGTAATGGAACAATTACAATTAAGCTAGTGTGAGAACCTCAACCTGTGCAGCAGCACGGCTGTGTTCATCGGCTGATAATATTGATGAAAGGGATCTATCCTGATGCAGGTGAACAATTAACTTTCAAGTTAGAATAACCACAAATTCAATACTATGGTAGGATGAAATTCTTTCCCAAGACATTGGGGGCATATATAAACAAAATGTACTAATGTTCAAACATTTGAAATTAAACACGACAAAAGATAACAGAGTAATGAAAGAAATATGGATTTAACACCATACATTGTTAACTTCTTTTCCACCAATATAATGGAACAATTTATCAACCATTGTGTCCATGAAACCAAGAGCATCTTCTCCCCGACCTTCATTAAACATCTATCGTTAAGACCACATTTTGAAATAATTGATATAAACATTTAACTGTCCATACCCAATGCAACAAGACCCAATGAAAATCCTGCAGAAACAGCATAACCCTCCCTTTCAAGAACATTATCCCCTGCACTTCTACGTCCTATTTCCAACTGTAAAATACAGCATATAACATATGAAGTCAGATCCAAAGGCATCTTACAGCCAAGATAAGATTGTACAGATTAGTATCAATCACCCAAAAAGCTAAAAAACAGAATAGCATAGTATCTCATGCAATGCATAATAAAATATATGCAAACTAATGGAGCAACAAAAAAATGAAAAAGAGAGCAAACCAAGAGAATCTGCATTGTTTGTGGATGTGCTGATCCTTCATAAAGAAGCCCAACTGACATTAGACCTGCTGACTGTAACGACAAAAGAATCATTATGTAAAACAAGATAGGAAGTTGAGGAAAGTAAAATTAGTAACTATAGTAACATAGTACACTAGAACAAGAAAAACAAGTAAAAGATATATGTTCATAACTGCAACTTTTCCAGTAGAAGGTGTGGTTTGAGTCGTTTGACATATATTTGGAAAACAATATCCTACAGATACAAAAGAGACCTATTCTGAAGGTAATATAATAACAATAGCTCAGCAGATACCTGCAGAAGGGTTGGTAACTCTACTTCACTTGCAACTGGAAGTCGAGCAGGTATATGAAAATAAAGAACCTGTAATGAAATTGTAAAAACATAAAGTTACACCACAAACACCATAGGCATATGGATACAACATTAAGAGAAAGGAATCCGAAAACAACTACAAATTTGGAAGAAATAAATTAACCATGCAACTTCAGCTTAAATCATGCTCAACTAGCATGTTCAAATGTGTCCTTCCTTCCATTTAAATAAAATAAATTTATGTTCTGACTCTCTAAATATGCTCTTAATCTACTGAAACAGCCCACTGCATGAAAAGTACATACCAAGGAAATGATACTGGTTAAAGACAATGTAACTTAGTAACTATTGAAAAGATTACAAGTTAGTCCACTCTCCAACTTGTGCAACTATAATGACAATCAACGACGAGTATGCAAGATGAATGATATTGAAATTTCTCAGTGGGAGAGAGAGAGGGGACTGTAAATATTATTTTCAACACAAAAAGCAACAAAAGTTGCACACAGGTTCTTAAAAGGCACAAGTCATTACCTTAGATATTGCTGGTTGCATAGTACCTCTGTAAGAAGCTGCCAGGCCGAGCATCATACCAACCGTTGTGGTCTCATGTTCCTAAGAAATTGAAGTAAATCAGGCACTAACTGGAGAACTACATACAGAAGAGAAAAGAAATGGTAACTAGGGTGGTGGCAATCAAGAAGGAACAAAAGGCTAGGCAGTCAACATCTCTCTCTCTCTCTCTCTCTCTCTCTCTCTCTCTCTCTCTCTCTCTCTCTCTCTCTCTCTCTCTCTCTCTCTCTAAGAATTTAAAAAGAAATTCTGACAGACATTAAGATGCTCCTAATTAAGAGGTTTTAATCTAGAGGTATCAAAACAGGTAACAGCAACTCAAGGGCATTACAAAGAAGATAATAGATAACTAAAAGTCACGGAATACATTACCTGATAAAGATACTGATATATGTCCGTAATAGTTAAAACACGAAGATAACCATGTAATCCCAGCGCAAGGATAAGTCCAGCATGAATAGCATTTGGCTCCTCTGGTTTGTTGTATATTATCCACATTCTTGACATTTTTCCCTGGAATGATAAGCCAAGAGAAGACAGAAAACTCAATACCATATAAATATTTAAAACTTACATAGAATATGTTGGAGGAATGAAGAGTAGCATGATGTTATATTCGATATCTAATGGTAAAACTAAATAGAAAGACATCTATGTAGAGATTCATTGTAATGCAATACATACAAATGCACAGATGAAAAAGATATTAAAAATGGAAGTCATAATAAGGAAATTATTAGTGCTATATGTCCTAAAAAAAAAACAGGGAGAGAGAGAGAGAAAACCTGAAGAGGAGCCAGCCTTAGTCCAGCGGCAACAGCATTGTTGAATTCAGGCCAAGATTTGATTTCTTGTATATTCTTTACATTTGGGTCCAGATTAACCTTTCATAGAAAAACATAATATGCATGGGTAACAGACTGTACCAAGATGGTAATTCTTTTTGTTTTTGTTTACAAGACCCAACCTATCATTTTCAAATCAGAATCATTTATAGTTATCATATACTGTTCAATGAAAGAGTAATTTACCAAAAGTTGTAGTAGCAGAGGAGACAAAAATGTTTGAAAGAGAACTAGAAATACAAAGAATATGGCACAAAAGAAACAAAATTGCTAAAAGAGCAAATCTGAACATACAGTTGCATTTTGCTGGGCAGGCAACCGACCTGCTAAAACAAGCTTGGGGACTGCAAAGGCCTAGAAAATTGGTGGAGGGGGAAGGAGAATCTTGTTAGCATACTTCAAGCAATCAACGTATAGAAACAAAAGGACCAAAGAAAAAGATGCACCTCTGTCAAAAGTGTATATATGGTAGCAAGAGTGAATGCCCCACGACCAAAAGGAAGGGCGGTGGTCCTTTGTGCAAGGTGCCATAGCTGGGCCTTTACAACAATGAAAAAGACAGTAACAATATGCAGAGATGGCATTAATAAAAATTGTCTGTCCACTGAGCAACAAAAGGGATATCAAAGTGCCCAAAAATGTATCTTTTGGTTTGGCAGAGGGGGATCAAGTATGAACCTATGACAGATCAGACGTTTTTATCTTCTCAGGGGAGCATAAACAAAAATTTACTTCTACAAATTTAGATGTGCTGAGAATGCACAGCTGCATTTCTTCAATAGCTGTTTTAACTTTTAAGTATATTATCATTAGCATTTCAGTTAACAGAACAGCAGCATATGCAAAACAAGTAATTAATAGTAAGGTGTACCTGTTGGAGGTCCTGATCAGAGGCACTAGGATTAACAGATGTTTGAATTGCCACAGGTCTTGCTGAGCAGAGGAGACGTCTAACCTGATAGAAGTAAAACTCGCTTTCAGACAGGCATAGTACAGTTCAATTCAGGAGATACTCTAGAACACCAATAACAAAAAAGACAAAATCCAACACAAAACAGATAAGATAAAACCCAACGAACCAATCAATAATTGGTGCTGAATAATAACAGAACTCTATAATCATCGATTGTGATTATAGTCTGAAAGACGAAAACCTTAGAGTCACCTGCATTAACACTCCAACCACATAGAGTAGAAACCAATGGTAATAATCACAGTAATCCCTGATGTCAGTAGGAACCAGAGCAAGCTTTACAAATTTTAGGCATTCAAATAAATAATCTGTACAAACTGTGCTCCATGTAGATTATACATATTTAATAACTGGATACCTTAGCAATGGCAAGGCTCAAACTTACTCAGATCACACTAGACCAACCCAGTAGAGAGGATTCAAATTAAGAGAGAAGATTAGATTTAGAGCATAGTTTCATGCATTCTTACAGGTACTCAAAATGGCAACAGAAACTAATCACCAGAAAAGTGTCCTGCCGCATAACCAAACACATTGAAGATAGCAGTGGTACATGAAAACAACAATATGAGAAAATGAAAATCTTCAACAAGTTCCACTCAAAACTCTACACATCAACAATTTCCATTATGACCTTTTTACATCGAAGGTGTAGCCACATGCACTTCCTTCACACCCAAAAATATATATTAGCCATATTATCTTTGTCAGTAGGTTAAAGGGGAAAATGACAAATACACTTACATCAATAATTACTATAGACACAAGAGCAACCACTCCAGCAAAATACTGTGAGCCTAGTGATAGCATGTCAAAACGGACAATTAAAGTAAAAAGAACTAAAATTCACCTCATTGAGTCGTAAATCACGACCATAGCGCAACTGTGTGCTAGTGTTGAAGATATGCTCCATGCCATCAATCGTAGACCCATCAACAGAATCTGCATCTTCAAACTTAGTATTCTCCAATCCAGTTGTATCAGAAACTGCAGAAGGAATTGTGACTGGATGCAAATGTAGCATGTAAGGTGCAGACATAGAGATTAAGTTCACATTAGTCTGGGTTTCAATTTCCTTAGATTTGCACGATCGTTCAAGACATGACAAAGCCAAATCTTCCCGACCAAGAAGAACATATGCAGCTGCAGGCCAACCAGTGGGAGGAGATTCCCGGCACTTACCCAGTGCCTATAGAACACACAGAAACGAAGGATTCAGTTGATAATGAAAATTGATAACTAGAAAATCAATAAGGAGACCTAAGTAATATTACAATACTGATACCAAAAAAAAAAAAAAAAAACAAAAAGTAAAACTCTTTCAGATAACAGTAAATTGCCCAGGGGATAAGTAAGTGATGCTTAACTACGTGTAGCAATTCTTACATGTCGCAAAGGAAGAGACACACCAGAAGGCAATGAGTCAAGCTGTTGCAGTCCAAACTTTTCCCCAACCATTGCCAGAACTGTGAGTTCCTCATTTGTGCTGTATGATCCAGTGGCAATATTACAGTAAACACCAGATGACAGTTGCTTCCCTATGTGTTTAGCACCAGATAACAAACTATAAAATGAGACTATCTTCCGGGCCCAGCTTACAATAGAATTCCCATCTTTACGAATCAATGGTGGAAGATCATTAATACTAGCTGAATTATATCCATGTAGCAAACAGTTTTCAAGCCACCTGAATAAACTTGGAGAAGTTTCCTGTGAAAACGATGTTTCACATATTCCAACAGTTCCAGAAAGGCCAGGAAAATCACGAATGTAATGGTCCACATAACTTTCTTTACCCAGAAACTTAGCAATATTGCATAATAGAAATCCCAGAAGCTCCAAGTCCCTGAAAAAAAATTTAGGAGAGAAATTTAAAGCAAATTAAAAAAATAATAATAAATAAATAAAAACATGAGTCAATAACTATGTGTTTGCAAGGTTACAACTTGCACCATGACAGATTGCAGATTAGTTAAGTATAATAGCTCAATATGAAATGCCCATAGAAACAATCAAGTATCAAAGAATGCAACCCTCCGGTAAACAATTAACAAACTGAAGCGTTATTTGAGTGCTGACGATCTTAAGGATCCTGCACTGCTTAGCATGGAAAGCATACAATAAGGGTCTGGCAAGGTAACGCATCAAAAGAGGCACTCCACCTAAACTATCAATTTTCACAAAACTTTAAGAAGGTTCATCCAAGGTCACTCAATCACTGCACCTCAAGTATATGCAATCAATATCATAATTGCAAAATAGTGCATAATGCTAAATAACTAAATTAAAAATAAATATTAGTACTAATGATAAAAGTTAAAATACAACAAGATTACAAAAGATAAAACACACCTTTTGCGAAGACTGTTCAGTTTCAGGCTCTCATATACTGCATGCAAACAATGTAAACTCTCCATCAACAGCTTTGGATAAAATGTTTTATCTGACCTTTTTGTACCATCTGAATTTATCCGAGAGGAGTCCACTCTTCGCACATTCAATGATGTTACTGAAGAGTTTTCAGTAATAAAGTTATGTTTGCAGAAATTGTTGTGAAATTTACTGTGAATAAGAAACTCCCAAGATGACTGTGGCATTGGATTTGAAATCTTTTTAGAAGTGGCACTTGATCCACACATTTCCATTATAAGGCTACAAAGGAGTCCCATTCCGAGTGAACACTAGAATCAGCTTCTGCTAAATAAGCAAGGTCACCATCTTTCCAAAGCAGACTAAGAAAATGGCTATAGAAACTGGTACTTAGTCCCTCAGCCATGGCTGTGATGCAATCATTTGCCAGGGTAGATGCAGGGCTTCTACGTAATACACACCGAAACATCTGAACAATATTGAAAAAATAAGACCATAAAATAGCTGTCATAGCAAGTACCTTAAATTGATAAAGAAATCAGCAGTCACTACAATTATCGAGAATAGACTAGAGCGTGTGTTTACATCAGAAGGTATGTGGACAGCAGTTTGGCTTTCCAGAACAAACATATGAAATCAAGAAACTACTTACCTTCCCATTATTTACAGTAACATTGATACGCCCCTCAACAGCATCGGCCAATCCTATAACCTTCAGGCCCTGAGTAACAGATGTTTCTGGAAACTCTAAATTATGTGAAAATTGGCCTTCACTAACACAAGAAGGCAACATATACCTACACAGGCAATGTTTCCCCGACTGCAAAAATAAAAAAGGTTGATTGCATAAATGTTGCACACTTATGCCAGAGGTAAACACAACATTATAAATATATTGATTAAACATAAGAAACGGCAAAATAAAAGTTTCTCAATTGATCAATTCATTACTAATAGAATGGAAAGCAAATTGGAAATTCCATTTCCGGGTACTATTTGAACCATTAGAGAGAATGTGAACAATCTATTAACAATGATTCAACTGATATAAGCTACCAAGTTGGTATAGCTTACATAGAGAAGAAGGACATTTTCAGGAGCCAGAACAAGCATGTCTGAATATGGCAGCAGTCCCACTTTCGCCCTGGAAAAGTTAATGGAGAAAATCATGTTCATATAATTGTTAAACAGACTTGGGAAGAAAAGAAAGGGAAAGTAAACATGACATGAAACCATACCTAGGGCGGGTAACAATCACAGGTGCTGCTGCAACTGCAGGTATGCTCCAGCTCATGTCAGGTTTAATGTCAAATATAATTTCATTATTTATCTCAACACTTTGAAGTCCTTACACACATCAATTTTTTTTGTTCTTGATGAAGAAAACAAATAATAGGAGCTGCATCATCGTCAGTCGCTAGAAAGACCTAAAATATAGTTTACAAAATCAGACGAAAGGAAATTCACATGACTTAATTAAGGTTTATTTTAGATACGGACTTAATTGATGTTTAAATAAAATGAAAAAAAAAAAAAAAAGAGGCACCTTACAAGCTGCTGTATGGGCACCCTTGCCTTGCCATATTCTACGAAATGAGAATTGTTTTGCTAGAACACCAGCAGGAACTGCATCTACTAAACTAGCACTTGCCATTTCATGGTTAGAATTACTGGTTTCTGCAACCCACACAGAATGTTGCATCTTTCCTGCATAGAGACGTGGCAAGATTATATATGAATTTAACCCAAAAAAAAAAAAAAAAAAAGGGGGAAGTAACTTGGCATCTAAGGAACCTGTATTATATGATGCCATAAGAGGAATTCGATCACTTGTCCAAATAGTAGTTTCATCAAATTCCTTCATTAAGTTCAGTTTTCCTCTTTCTTCAATATGAGCCAACTGAAATATTTTCATTAAAAAGACATGCATCAAGAAAAATACAAAAGAAACAAAAAACAAAATAGCAAAGCAAAGTACAAAATTCAATAGCGTACGTGTGGTTCTTCTAATGGATCTTTCAAAATCAGATGTGAGGACACCGGGCTTGTTTCTCCCTTGGCGATATGGTCAAGTGAAGTCACAAAATTGACATTGTGCTGTGGACTATGTCCACTTTCTCTTCTAGGACGAGGGAGATCTCGTACGCCAAACAAAGTAGTCGAAGATGAAGAAGGAGCATGTATAGTTGAGTTCACTTCAGCTGCCTGCTGAAGTAACAAACCAAATGGAAGAGGCCATACCGATGTGACGGTTCGAGAAAGAGGGACAGAGACTACTTCACCTATTGGACAACAAACAAAACAACATATTTTGTTCAATCTTTTCAGGAATTTATCGACAATTAAGTTTCGAAATGGAGTAAAATATCCACTAGATTTCGCACCTGATGTGTTGTAGATTGTTAAACAAGCAACTTGTAAAACGCATAGAAGCGCTTCGGTCATATCCCCCAAGCGACACCAGCAAGCCTGGATTTATATATACAAACAAATTTTCATTACCAAAACAAATGTATATCACCAGAAAAGCAAATTCAGGCAAAATGTATGTACCGTGATTACTGGAGACGGCAATGTGAATCTCTTAAACACTCGCGGACCGGTTGACCATATTATCCTGTAACATTACGGCAAATATGTTTCAGAATTCCAAATCACACTCACTGCATTTTCAATTTTAATTTAAATTCAATTTTCTACTCCATTTTCCGAGCAACCAAACAGAAACAAAATAAAAAATTGCAGAAATTACCGATTTCGTCGAATGAACAGCTCGTGATCGCACCGATCGCTCAGCGCGGAGGCCGAAGAGTCATTGTCTTCCGTTTCGTCTAGTTCTCGGACGGTTTCGGGGTCAAAGAGGAAGTAATCATACTTGTCGGTGACGTTATCGGCGGGCTTACCGTCGAGAGCTTCGGCGATTAATCCGAACGGCTTGAACTCGCCGAGCACCGTGAGGCGGCGAACGGCCAACGGCGACATTTTGAGGGGTTAGTGAGAGATTGAGCTCAGTGGAGTGAGAGACTGTCTCCCGCTCTTTTTTGCTCTGTATGGTGGTGAATAAACGGGTGGGAATTTGGGGAGATTGGGGTTTAAACCCTAGAGTTTTAGCCGTTTGGTTGCGTGGACAGTTTTGTTCCAGTGAGGCATAGGAATAGAATTGTTCCAGCTTTGGTTAACTTTATATAGGCAGCATGCTAGATTTGACATGTCAGTTATTCGTTTTAAATTCACGGCATCATCTTGTTACGGATAAATTATTAGGTAGTATTGTACTAACATGTCATCTGTGATGCTCTTTTTCTTGAACAAATGATGCTCTTTTTGAAAATTTGACTTGTGAACTATTTTATCATAGCTGGATTTATAGTGTACTTCACGAATTAAAAATAAATTAAATACTTGAAAAATATAAAAACCCAACGACCACCCCTCCGTCCTTTAGCGACCACCCTTTGCCCTCCCCTCTGGAGGGCCCCACCTACGACGCAAGGGGCGGAGATTTTGAGCCAGCATAAGGGGGGCGCTTAGATGGGGTAAGTGCCCCTCAGTCTCTAGCATCGTCATTGTGTTCTGCCCGCCCAGGTGATCACTCAGGTAGTTCGCACCGACGTTAGTACGAATACGTCCTTCGCCGTCTAAGTTTTTGATCTCGAAGTCCTCAAATCACAAGCCAAAACACATAAGAAATCTTCGAAATTTTGAATTTACTGTGAAAAAAAATATATATAAAATTAGCAAATCAAATGAGGATCAATTGGGAGGATTTTTTTTACGATCGGACATAGCTATACAATATGAACAAAAAATCTCAATTTTGGTTTCTATCACCTCAAAACCGCACCGAACTGTGAAACAAAAATGTAAAATTAGCAAATCAAATGAGGATCAATTGAGAGGATTTTTGTTGGGATCAGACAGAGCTAAACAATATGAACAAAAAATCTTGGTTTTGGTTTCGGTTACACTCAAAACTGCACTGAACTGAACCATGTCTATCCCTAGACACATTGTACAAGTGACAATATGTGTGAAAACTAAGTGACTTTTATTGTGTTAAACTTACTCCTTTTTGTTTTATAGTATTCCCACCATGATAGTTATAACCATCAATTAGTATTTGAAAGTATAACACTTTTTAACTTTTTACGACAAATATTATTAGAAGTTAAAACACCAACGGTGATGGATAGAAGTATTGTCCTTGCATTACAGTGTGGATTCGAATTTCATCGACTTTCTAATTTAACATCTAACATAACAAATATATTGTTCAAAAAAAAAATTAAAACACTTTGTGTTTGTCTAAAATCACTTTCAAATTTGCCATAACCTAAACTAGTTAAGCTAAGTTTGTGATTCAGATGCTAATAATAGACAATGAATCAGCAACTCGTGTTTTCAATGTCCATTAGCAAATTAAATAATATTGCCTTTATTAATTAACTACTATGTGTCGTTTATGGATTGGTGGAGGATATAATTTTTTGTGTTCACCACCGGATTTGGATCCTCGCCGGATCCCCTCCTTGGGGATCCTAGGGATCAACGACCATTGATAAAAAATCATACCGTCCCAATTAAATGTTTTTTTTTATTTTTAAAAGTAAAGCATTATCGTTTTGCATGAAAAATATAAATAAATAAATAATTATGACTGCATAATTTTTTATCAACGGTCTGTGTTCGTTGATGATCCGGCGAGGATCCAAATCCGTTCACCACCACACACTAATTGAAAATAGGTTTGTTTGTGGCAGATCATGTTTAACACATGCTCCCAAATATAAGTTCTTTGCCCATTCATTTGTAACGCATGGCGTCGTGGCTCACGTTTTCTTCGTGTGTAAAAGGAAAAAGGAAACAGTACTGGAGTGGACTCATTAAGACCTGGTTTGGTAGTGAGGTGATTCTGAAAAAAGCTGCTATCAAAAAAAGCTGGGAGCTGTTTTTGTGTTTGGTAAACACTCAGCTTCAGCTTTTTTTCACAGTTTTGGATGAAAAAAAGCCAAAATCAAGAAGCTGCAAAACCTAGCTTTGAAAAACCAGCTTTTTTTCATATCTGTTTTACATAAAAGTTTACCAAACACTCTAATACTGTTTTTTTTTTTCAAAAGCACTTTTACAAAAAACTTTACCAAACACTCTACTGCTTTATTTCACAGCTGCTTATTCTCACAGCACAGCAGAAGCAGTTTTTTTTTAAAGCACAGCAATACCAAACCAAACTAAGCTATGATGAAAGCACTACATGCATGAAACGTTGACCAAAACGCAAGCCTTGTCAAACATGTTATATTACAACTCAATTATTGTACCACTCAGATTAACCAATAATGATCCTTATGAACACAAAAAATGATAGTTTCTCTTATAGAGTGCATGGAACCGCCAAAATTATAGAAATAATAAATTTTGTGTGTCTAAATAAAATCAGTATATAAAAATGGCTGATTGTTTTAGTAGCTAAGGTTTATTTTTTTGACCTAATGTGTTTTGAGTTCAAATACTTCTCCCCTCGTTAATATAAATTAGTATAAAATATCGTTTGTAATAAAAAAATAATATAAGTACAAAAGAAGATTTGAAAAAAGAAAAATCCCTTGTATCAATAACGTCAACTTATTTTTACCATATTTTTAAGAGAATTTGTAACATCTAACATCGTCCAGGGGAGTGAATCTTATAAGCCTTATATGTATATTCTCATCACAAGGCATTTTGGAAGCTCACTGGCTTTGGGCTAGGATGTGGTGAGGGCCCGGGCTGGGATATGACATAATTGTTATTAGCACTCTAAAAATTTCATTCTACACTCCTCACAAATAGTTTTTTTTTTTTTTAATTATAGAAAATTTGGAATTCAAAATGAGATTTTTGAAGTGTCAATAACAATTCCCTATTTAAGATAGCAATCCAAATGGTTTATATTTATCATGAGTCCAAGACCAAGTCGCATTCTCACACCCCATTGTAATGAGGTGTATTTTGCATACAGCATCTCCGCAAAAACCTTAACATTATAGGACGATCTTTTGCAGACACATGCAAAATCATGAGAAATTTTTCTTAATGCCAATAATACGGTCCAGTATATTAAGTGTCATAATATAATTACTTATAAATTTTGAGAAAAAAAAATAAATCAATTGTATTATGACATTAAATTTAACGTGTCGTGTTCCCACTAAAAATCTCTTCAAAATCATATCAGAAAGAGGGGATGCCAGGTTGCCTTTACACACTTGTTGGTTTCTAACATTGCAAACATCGATTAGCTGCAATTAATACATAGACTTTAAGCTTCGGACAAATTTTCAAAGATTTACACACTTGTTGGTTTCTAAACATCGATTAATAGCAATCTAATACAGTGTGCGTTTAACTTTTGTACAATTTCAAGGATGAAATTCTGTTTATTAATTAGAAACCATAACATTTCGAACTCGAGAATAACATGCCTTGAGGGAAAAAAAACCTTACACGGATGTGTCCGGCATTGTCAACTCAGACACTTTTCAAAACCAACCGAGAGATACGAATTGGAGCCTTCAATTTTTTCATAGTATATCAGATTTACATTGTTTTGTGTGTGAATATCAACAACCACGAATGATTTACGTTACTTAATTTGAGTTGTTTACGTGTTAAATTTTAAAAAATTGATGCACGTGAGAAGGTGTGTCTAGAGTATAAACTATACATTAGATAAATAAGTTCATTTGTGCTTATAAACAGTTAGGCTATTCTCTTAGAAACATAATATAGTGGAATGATTTTTCTTGTATTCACCGAAAGCTAGGGTTACAAGATATATAGGAAACAGATACATTCCTAATCCTAAACTAATGCCTACAATCAAGGAAAACAAACCATAACAGGTAAGCAAATAACTAATTTACAGATTTACAATATTTACTATAATTAATCTAAGATATCTTCTTTAACACTCCCCCTCAAGTTGGAGTGTATGTTAATAACACCCAACTTGTTGAGCAATGTTTCAAACTGTGTAGAACTCAACGGCTTGGTGAAGATGTCTGCTGGTTGGTCAGTTGTTCGTATGTATGTCATACGAATCAGTCCTCCTTGAATCTTCTCTCTTACCAAATGACAGTCAATCTCTATATGCTTTGTTCTTTCATGAAATATCGGGTTCAAAGCAATGTATATGGCTGCTTGGTTATCACAAAACAACGTGACTGGTTGTGAATGAATCACCTTTAAATCTCTTAAAATGTTCTTTAACCATGTGATCTCACAATATGTGGCTGCCATGGAACGATACTCGACTTCTGCACTGGAAGAGAGACAGTGGTTTGCTTCTTTGTTTTCCAGGATATCGGTGCTTGACCAAGTTGAATACAGTAACCTGTTATCGATCTTCTTGTGTCTTTGCATCTAGCCCAGTCAGCGTCACAAAATGCCCTTAACTGCAAAGATCCCTTGGATGGCAAAAATATGCCTTGTCCCGGTGCAGTCTTGATGTATTTGAGAACTTTGTGTACCGCATCAAGGTGTGGTTGTCGAGGCTTTTCCATAAACTGACTTAACATGTGCACATCATAGGCTAAGTCTGACCTTGTTATGGTCAGGTAGATCAGCCTACCCACAAGTCTCCTGTATGATGAAGCATCAACCAAAAGTTCTCCTTCTGCCTGTGTAAGAGAAACATTTTGCTCCACAGGGAATCGTGAAGGTTTGGCACCCAAAAATACCGCGTCATCTAATATATCCAATGCATATTTTCGTTGGCATAAGGTGATGCCATTTTTGGACCGTGCAACCTCTATCCCCAAGAAATATTTAAGTTGGCCTAAGTCTTTCAATTTGAATTGTTGTGAGATAAACTGCTTCGTTGCTTCAATTTCTTGCAGATTGTTTCCTACTAGAATCACATCATCAACGTATACCAACAAAGCAATGAAGTTACCTTGTTGACTTCGGACAAACAAGGAATAATCATACCATGATTGATGAAATCTGGCATCCTTGAGAGCGGTGGAAAGTTTGATGAACCATTGTCTTAAGGCTTGCTTTAAACCACATAAGGATTTGTGTAGCTTGCATACACGAGT